TTTGGTAAAGGGAGAACATGAGGTAAATAAACCATTGAGAGAGTGGGGGTTAAAGCTCTCACTCGATGGAGATAAAGCAGAGGTTCAAGGGAGAAGGAAGAACCTATCCTTCCGGAGAACATTGAGAATTTTCCCTTCAGTCCCATTTCCAGGTCTGATCGATCAGTTGGGATCCAGTTAGGATTTGATATTCTGGTCGTATATCACCTTCAATGTGGAGCGCCCCTTCTTCTTCATCGCATCTCCTATGAGTCCGATATCTCTTTTAGGTTCTCCTTGGCAGTTTTCCGTCGTCCTCTCCTCTTCTTTCCTCTTGGCCTTCTCTCATACACATTTCCTTCTGACCCGTCCCATCCGAGAAGCTGTCAGAGAGAGTAGGTGGGCTACCATAGCATAATTATCACTTGGGAGGCTTGCCTACTGTCGAGGAACAGTCGGCTAGAGAGTTTCTAGGCAGGCCTAGACAGGAAACTCATTATTACGGTTGGGCCTATTGCAGACGTGTCGCTCCTTGATAGGGCATCGTGAAAGTGGATCCAACAATTGCTCCCGACTTTTTGACAGGTTGGAAATGAGTCGAGGAGTCGATCCTTACATTGTTCATGTAAAACATTGAAGACTCATTTCTTTTGATACCCAAAGGTCTAGGTGAGCTTGATACCATCCTAAAACGGTTCACCCCCAACTTTGCTGTGCATCTTGGGAGAGTACGAGTCTAGCTGAGGTGAAAAGAGGGTTAGGTTTCTGGAGAAACGGTTATATGGGTCCTACCACAGCTCAGGTGTGCATCTCGGGAGAGTACACACTTGTCAAATTAAGAGGAAATCTGGTTTTCGAAGAAACAATTGATCGCCTACGAATAAGCATCGTCCCGAAGGAATTTTATTTCTTTTGCTTTGTGAAGAACTTGGAAAATAGCCATCTTTATTCCCAATTAGCTTTATGAGGAAGTTTGAGCCTAATGTGACCATGGAGATCACTATAAGATAACGGCACGGTTTGAGACACCTGCTTAAGAACCACTGATGATGCCTTGAGAAGGAGAAAAGATTGTCCCGTGCACGGGTCGCTAACACGAGGAGGGAGCCGTCGCTTTTGTGAAGCATGTATGCGGGCCACCTAGTAGCAAACAAGGCATTTATCCTAACTCTCTTACTGCCGGAACAGTCTTTGCATTGTTCTTACGAGTAAAGTTTTATTGTTTCAGAATTGTGATTAGATCTTCCGGGAGAGACCATAGTGTTTGGGAAGAAAAACCTCCCATAAAAGGCGATCTCGATTCCTGATAGTGCCCCGGAAGGCAAGAAAGTCTCCAGAAAGAGCATAATAAGTGGTTGTGCGTTCCCCGAAAAGAGCTGGCAAGGAAGACTCGGAGGTATGAGAGACCAAAATCCTTGATTTCTGGAGGAAAGGTGCCCCAGAGGGCAAGAAAGTCTACAGAGAAACAAGCTGTCTGAAACTCGGATGAAGGGTTTTAACGGAAATTCAAACCACCAATTAGATGCCCCCGAAGGGTGAGATAATGCAAGTGAGGATACATAATTGAATTGAAGGAGCGGTAAGTAAACAAGGGTAAATATGAGAGCCATAAAGACTCGGTGATCAAGCAATTGAATAAGCACGCGAGTATGGGATCAGGCAAATATGCAAAGAAGGGCCTGCTATCCGACCCGTTGCAAAGTGTCTTCTATTAATACCCTTCTCACACCAACGGTAAAAGGAGGGGGAAATCTAGAGAGATACATCCATCATCTAGCTTCATTCTAAATATACACTTGCCAAAAGCTTTATCAAGATCACTCGGAGTTGATAAAGTGTCCCATTCTAGTCTCCTGGTCATCTTATACTCTCTTGACTAGTCTCGTGCCCTGTTCTGACTTGAGCGCCAGAGAGTGATCGGAAGGGCACTCATTCCATTTCGCCACGTTAGCTTCCTTTCGTTTGTGTCAGGTTGATCCGTCTCCTGGAGTATGAATCTCCCCCAACAGCCCCGACAACCTATAATATCACTCCATATAAGCATCTCGTAATTTGCTTCTAAACAATAATATAAATACAATTATGTTAGTTTGTTCTTTAAATTTAATTTTTTTTTGTTTATTTTGTTTCTATCTATTTCTGAGCCTACCTATATACTTTCTCTGTTTCTAAACGAATGATTTTCTAAAAAAAATCTGTTTAAAAAAAACAAAAATCTCTTTTTCCAATGTAATTTTTGTTAAATATTTCTAATTCTACCTTTATTTTATTTTCTTTTATCTATTTATTTATTTTTATAGTAATAAAAATAAAAGATAAATATGTCATTTCAAAACTTTTTTTAATACGTGCGAAAATCTCAAAAAAATCTTCTTTCAAAACAGAGGAAATATAAATTATATGATTTGTTATTAGAAAATAAATAATTAACGAATATGTTTTTAATTTTATAATTATAATTTTTTTTTAGTTTTGTGGTATTTTTGCGATGTTTCCATCGTGTCTCATTCCACTCCCATCACATCCTAGATTTTAAATGAAACATATATAGAACAGCTACTTTGATTTTCATATTTCTATTATGTTTCCATTCCCCTAAAATCCTATTCTAAATTTATGTTGCCCACTTCTAATTCCATCTGCCTTTTCCAAATTTAAAAGTATTATTCTCTTATGTTTTATATATTTTTTTATATCTATTTTTCTCTTTTTAAATTTGTTTCTCTGTTTCTTATAATTTATTACTCTGACTATTTATCAAATATTCTTTAATAAATTATTATCTTTAGGTATTATCTTATTTTTCAACTATTTAAAATTTTTTAACTGATTTTCTTATATTTTCTATTTAAAAATTTATTATTTTATTAATTTAAAAATAAAAAAAATTAAAACGATAATAGAAAGATTGTTTTAAAATGATAAAAAGGATTCTTTTATAATATTTTAAATATGATTTTGAATATTATTTAATTTCTAGTACTAATTTTAAATTAAATTGAGATTTTATTTTTGTATATCATTTAATGATTTTATAGTATTATAATTTAAATTAATTAATATTATTATTATTTTTATCGTAAATAGCATGATTTATATTGAATGTTGGTAATCAGAATACAAAAGTTGCAATATCAGACAAGGAGGGTTATCGGAACTAGAGAAGAAAATCCCATTAGGAGTACGTATTTGTGCTAACTTATGAGCCACAATATTACAATCTCGAGTAATATGAGTTATTACAATATTTTGAAATTTGGATGTCCATACTTTTATGTCCTTAATTAGGTTGGAGATACTAATATCGTGGGCGTCTTGTTGAAGTAAATTTACCAATTTAAGGCAATCTCCTTCGAAGTACATATTTTTGTAACCCATACAACATGCGTTTTGAATTGCAGTTAGTAGTGATTTGCCTTTTAAGACTCGAAATTGTAGTGCCTAAACTTAAGGAACCCTAAACTTTATAGTGACCATTAGGATCGCGGATAATCCATCCAGAAGTAGCGTGCTGAGTATTTAGATTGTAAGCTGCATCGTAATTGCATTTAAGATAGCCATCTGGTGGGCGAGTCCATAACGTAAGGTTAGTAGCAATCATAGGATGAAACTGTGAGGGATAGATTTTGATCTATTCATCTACCTCAGCCCGGGCTTTATTAATATCCTTTCTAATTTTGATAGTTTTTTATTGGAAAATGAAAGAATTTCAAAATAGTCTTTTCCATAAGGATAATAATTTATCTATTTCAACTATTCTTGTATTTGATTGTATGTCAAAGAGCTTGACATGATATCTTCAGTAATTAATTATATTTAATTATTAATATTTGAACATGTATAAATTTTTCATTGGCGTTTAAATGATAAGGTTTTAATTTCCGAAGAGCTGCTTTTATCTATTATAATGTAGATAATGTAGATAATCCACAAGTTAGAAAAAAAAAAGAAAAATAGAAACCCTAACCTTATAAAAAACTGTATATATCAAACCCGAACTGTTTTTATTGTTTTAAATTGGTTACTTTCATATTTTCAATTTATTTTATAAATAGTTTGTTATTAAAATCTATGCTACAATAGTTATTGGGATCAATAACATGTTTTAGTTTACGAAAATTATTTATAAATTTTGTGTTAATTTTTTTTTTAAATTACTACTGGAATACTCATGTTTTCAGATTTTTTTTTTGATACGATTTATGGATTGCCATGATAAGTATGATTATTCGTGGAGTTGCATCACTTTGCGCATACAAGATATTATTAATCTTGTTTTAAAAAAAAAACCTAAAAACGAGTTGGAGTTTCATCTATATTTTAAAGATTGAAGTTTACATACGGAAGAGTTTGTTGATTTATTTGTTCACTTCTCGACATACCGTGTTTTGCACTTTTGCTTGATGATTTTCATATATCTTGTATCTTGTGGACCAAGTTTTTGAACTATGAAAACCCGTTTCAAAGTGAAGGGTGTGAACCCAAATAAAGATTATCTTAGATTTTGATTTTCTCTTAGCAAATGTACCTTATGTATTTAGTAAAGTTTAGAATATTTTGATGTTAACATTATGCTATGTACATATGTATCTTATTTTCATATGAAATAAAATTTAAAAATATATTATATTCTATTATATTTAACAAAAACATCAACCCTTAACCTAATTGTCACATCATAAATCATTGAAGATTGATCTATCCCTATAAGGAACAAAACTTCTTCTTTCACAAATAAAAGGAAGCGTCTCTAACATTTCAAATCTGGTCCATATGATTGTGTAATTGTTTCAAGATTTTTGTTATAATCTTATTCAGCCATCTCCAATCATATATCTAAGAAACAAACCCCCGCAAGGTCAATTGCATCCCAAGAAACAAATAAAAAGCATCACAAAGTTTTACAAACGAGAATCACAAAATATGAAAAGAAGGCAATAATATTTTTCTAAGGAGTATCCATATGGAATATAAAAGCAGAGATGTATGTTTTGTTTCATTACCTTTCTCTTGTTTTTCCCTTAAGCCAAGTACCTAAACATGGTAGGATTCTCCTTGTCCCTCTCCAAATACTCTCTGGTTATTAAATCCTTGATACGTTTCTTGATCTCTTTAATATCAGGCTTGAATATCAGGCTAAGTTTCTGGACACACTCAGAAACAAGTTGTTGATATCCCAAAACCCTCCTTCCCTTTATGATCCTGACAATGGCAGCATCAGTTTCATAGCGCCTGTCTTTATCCACATCTTCAGAGGCTTTCTTCCTTTCATCAACAGGAGGGAGAGGGATCTTTATTCTGCGCATTCCAACAGTGAATCCGGAGTTGAACTCAAAAACATCAGTCTTGGAAAGTCTTTGTGCCTTGCTTCTTGATAAGAATCTTGTATTTAGCACATGACAAGGAATGAAGCAGCCACACTAGATCCTCATGGCTTAGGTTCAGTTGACTTTGGATGTCAGTGTAACTCAGTTTGTCTCTTGTGTTGAAAAGCAGAAGCAGAGCAGCCTGGTGAGTAGACACAATCAGTTCAATAGGCTTTTGATCAAACTTTCCAATAATGTGACAAGTTCCTAGTGAGTGGATCCATGTAAGTTTCCTGCTTCTCGTTTTCGTTTCATAGAAATCTTTGAAACCTTCAACACACTTGACCATTTCACTGGGTAGATTTATGTCAAACGTCTTGTAACTCGGCCAAAAACCAGTGGTAAGAAGAGTGACGGTCAAGCCAATCCCTGGTTTTGCATTATTGGCTACATACTCGTTGAAACTGTTTTGGTTTTCTCTTGACAATATCATATCCTTCAACATTCCCTCCATTTTAAAAGTGAAACTCCCACCGAATTGTTGCTTGAGCTTTGTAAGGATACTTCTCTCATGGTCATCATTTGCACCACGGTTCGATAAGAGCCTACGTGCCAGCTTCTTTCCGTAAAGCTCTGAAAAAAGATCCCATTCACCACTTATGCAAGCAAGGAACTTGACCACCTTCTCAACACCTTCATCGCTCAGCTCCTCACTTCCCCAATTCTTTAGGATAATTCTGTCGCAGAATGTTGCCAGTAATTCAGCCCTTGAGTAGCTTCCAGAGGTTGTTTTGATACAGAAACTCTCAAATGCCTCTTTAAATGTGTTGTAAATGAGGTTTTGGTTTTGGAAACTACCAGTGACATAGACCATGTATTTATCATGCATCTCAATAATGTTTCTGAGAAGAGCTTGTACCTTAGTAGCCGTGTCTTCACCATCTGCGTCTGTGATAAGCTTCTGCACAATCTCACTGAACTCTGAGTGCTTCTTTTCAAGAAGTTGACTTCCACGCACTACCAACAACGCATGTTCTACTACCTTAACCAGCTTTGGCACACTGCTTGAGTGAAGGTAATTAGTCACGCTCTCCTTCTCCTTCTTTATGCATTCTTCGGCCTTGAGAGTGTAATCAGAAAAAGAATCTTCTTGAATCCATCTTGATGCCTTGCAAGAATAGTAAGACGTTGTATCTTCAAGAAAGAAGCTCTCGAAATCTTCTTTGTATATTTTCATCTCTCCCATTCCAATCTCTACATAAAACTCTAATACGTTCTTCATTAGCACCCTATCAATATCCATCCCTTCTCGCTCTCTATCAACTAGTGCTACTACAGCTTCACCTTGAGTTGAAGCTTGTTATAAACCAGGTCACGGAAGCATGCCAGGCTAACTTCTTTTAGTGGTGCGAGTGAACGGAAAGGAATGAAGGAATATTCAAGATAGTGGAAGATCTTGGATAGGTATTTTACCATCTTTTTATGGGTAGACCATCTTTTAACCAGCTCCTGTAGCAGCATATATTCATCGTCATGGTTCTCCCTTAATGCAGACAAAGCTGTTGAGTTAATATAATCCTCAATTACTTCACCATACTTGTTATAAAGCTGCCGTGAGTAATTACGAGGAGGTTTCTGGATGCACATGCGGTAGACACTTGTGTAAAGCATCATATAGTCACTAGCATCAAATGAAGATTCAGGAAGTCCTTCCACAAATCGTTTTAGCTTAGTGATACTAGGCTGCATGTCGTCCCATCCTTGCTCAAAGTCATTCGTCTCGTGCTCCATGTTGAGACTTGACTCTTAACACCCACTCAGTAAATTCTTCGAGATCTTTGTTTATTTGTTATGGCTAACTAAGACAAATGTACATGTCCTTCAAAATAATATAACAAAGAACATTTCAATTTAAATTGCTTTAGATATGCTATGATTTTATTCCTAAATAATTTTTTTTTTTACTTAATATAACACATTATTTTCAAAGTTATTTTTGGAGATTTGGTTATCTGTCAACGCCATATTTACCCATACAAAAAAAAAAAATAACATACCTAACTAAAAAAGATAACATGTAAAATACGATAATAGCCATTCTAATCTTTGCTTAGTATTATATAATTGTTTTTATCTAAATAAAAATATTTAATTCTAAAATTTGCAAAGCTGTTTATTGGAAGTTTTTTTCTTTTGCTTATGATGATTATCAAATATAAGTTTAATTTAGTTTTAAAATACTTAGTATATTTATACTCATTCATAAACTTTATATGAATTTTTCTTTAATACTTGTATATGAAAAACCTCAGACTTAATATACTATGTTGGGAATATATGAATTTCAATAAATGATTATCTTCTATTATAACATCCAAAATTTTAAAGTTTGTTATTTTTGAGTTCTCTTTATATATTTATACTATTTAAATTTAAAGACTTGACTCTTAGCACCCACCAAGTAAATTCTTTGAGATCTTTGTTTATTTGTTATGGCTAACTAAGATAGATGTACATGTCCTTCAAAATAATATAGCAAAGAACATTTTAATTTAAATATGTTATGATATTATACCTAAATAAACACTTTTTAACTTAATATAAAACATTATTTTCAAACTAATTTTTGGAGATTTGGTTATGTGTCAACACCATATTAACCCTTACCAAAAAGAGATAACATACCTAACTAAAAAATATGACAGAAACATTTTGTTTTTTGACAGCATACGACATGCCATTTGAAATAAGGTAATAGCACATTCTGATCTTTGCTTATATATTCTATGATTGTTTTTAATTAAATAAAAATATTTATTTCTCTTTAATTCAAATGAATTTTCAGAAAAAATTGCAAACGGTTGTTAGGTTTTTCTTTTGCTTATCCCTATTACGTATGATAGGTTAATTTTCGATAATTCAAATTTCTTTAATTAATATAAAACATTATTTGCGAAATTATTTTTGGAGATTTGGTTATGTGTCAAACACCATATTCATTCTCACAAAAAATAACATACCTAAGTACCTAACTAAAAAAGATAATATACCATTTAAAATAAGATAATGCTTTGGATCCACGCCATGGGCGGGTTTCTTTTTATTTCATCAGTCCATTTAACACTAATTTCTGTAGCTTAAATCTGAATATTAGTTTAATTCGAAGTCCAAGTTCAAACTTTGTATCTAATTATTGAGCCCACTGAGATATTTTGTTGTTGTCGCTCTCTATCGAACATTCATTTTCTTAATTTGGGAAAGTAACATCGATATTTTCTTTCTTACCCTAACAATTCACGATTCATCTTGTATCGTTCGTTAACTTCAAATCATTGCAAAAGAAATCGATGAATCTTGACAATTTCGGTTATAGGTTGCTCTTCTGTAGAAGATGATATTTTACAATTGACGAACTGGGAAGAGATTTTCAGGTACTTGTATGAATTTGAGGTCTAAAGGCTCATCAAATTTGACTCTTTTCATTGACAACATTCATAGGAGAAGAGCTGTAAGACAGAGAGTTCAAGAGATAGAATGACAAAGGATGGCAGAGCAAGAGGCTCAGTTACCACATGTTGGTGTTGTTGGACAAGCACCATTACAACAAGCTGCAGCACACATAGATGAAGCACATGATGCTTTGAATCAAGCGGCTGGAATTCAGGGATTGCGAGTACCAATTCACGCACCTAGAGCTGCAAGACCAATAGGAGCTGGTGATGCGCCTGATACTCATCACAACAGGAATGGCATTCATGCTCCAGCTGTGCATCAAAACCACTTTGAGATCAAGCTTAGGGATCAACATGGTGCAAGGCAACATATTCCATAGCCTGCCCAATGAAGACCCTTTGGATCATCTGGACCAGTTTGATAAGGTGTGTGGTATGACCAAGATTCAAAGAGTCTCTGAAGATGCTTTGAAGCTGTGCTTGTTCCCTTTTAGTTTAGGTGAGAAAGTACATCAGTGGGAGAGACACTTCCACAAGGCTCTATATCTACTTGGGATGAATGTAAGACAACTTTCCTCAACAATTTTTTCAGCTCCACCAGAACAGCAAAGCTGACGAACACCATAAGCAGTTTCACTCAACATGTGAATGAGACATTCACTGAAGCTTGGGAGCGGTTCAAGTCTTATACTTTGCAGTGCCCACACCATGGCTTCACAAATGAAAGTTTGCTGTCTACTTTGTATAGAGGAGTGATGCCAAAGTACATGATGCTCTTGGATACAACATCAAATGGAAATTTCATGGGAAATACTGTTGATGGTCTAGCTCTTGTGAACTTGGCACTTTCTGATGGGAACTATGGTGAAGAATATGACAGAACATCTAGAGCTGTTGTAAGCGCTGAAGGTGAGAGCACAACAAAGAAGGAGATTAAAGCTCTGAGTGACAAGTTAGACAAGCTGCTGAGTGTGTCTTTCAAGAATGTCAGTTTTGTTGGTGATAGTGTTGCTACACAATAAGATGGGACAGTTGTAGAAGAAGAAGCCTTCTACATGGATCAACAAGGAGGCAGTTTTAACAACTACAGGAATCATTTCAACTTCTCTTATAGAAGCACCAACGTGGCTAACCCTCAGGATCAAGTCTATCCATCACAAGCTGCTCAACAAAACCAAGGAACTAAACCTTCTTTTGTGCCTTTCAACCAGCAGACTAACTTTTCTCCAAGACCACCATTTCAAGGCAGTTTTCAACAAACAAACTTTCAGCCAAAACCAGCTTTTGTCCCACCAGGTTTTGGCAATACACAAACCTCTTATAGCACTCAAGATGTTGATTTGAAGCAGATGATGCAATACCTGTTGACTGGTCAAGCCAACACCATTATAGAGCTGCACAAGAAGTTTGCTGAAGTACACAACAAGATAGACGCCACTACTTGTGACCTGAATGGCAAGTTAGATGCTCTGAACCAAAGAGTCAAGTCTCTAGAAAGCAAAGGAGATTTATCTTCAAAACCTCAGAATCAGTTACCAGAAAAGAGTGAAGCCAATCCTAAGGAATTCTGCCACTTGCTTGCTGAAGAGGAGGAAGAGTTTGATGATAAAGATGCTTCATTGGAAGGCCTTGGCATTATGCTTCGAGAGATTCTGTTACATGTGGACATGTTAAAAACTGAGTGTGGAGGGAATGTCATCAATGTCACCATCGATGATCAAGAAGCTGTTGATATCGTAGAGAAGTTCCTCCAAGGGCTAGATGAAAGCTTGAACAGAGAAGAAGAGCAAGAAAGAGATGAAAAAGAAGCTGCTGAGAAGGAAGAGGCTGAGAAAGCTTTGCTTGAAATGAAGGATCAAATCAGGTTCCTCAAAGAAGCCTTTGACAAGCTGGAAGTAGTGGAGCCAATTCAAGAGAATGTGGGGGCTAATCTAAGGAGAAACAAGGAGCTGAAGAGATTGACAAAGCTTCCCAATCCAGGAAAGTTTTTCATCACTTGTGAGCTTGAGATGCTAGACAATGTTGGAGCTTTGTGTGATTCAGGTTCAGCTGTGAATGTCATGTCCCTCCACTTAAGCCAGACCTTAGGAATCAAGTAGTTGAAGCCCTGCAAAGCCTCTATCACTTTTGTGGATAAAGGATTTCCCTTTAAAGATTAGGAATTGCTTGGTGCCAACAGATTTTGTGGTTATGAAGAAGACATATTCAAGAGATGTGCCACTTCTTCTAGGAACACCATTCTTGGCAACACACTACAAGAAAACAGTTTATTTGCGTTGGAAATTTGCGACGGCGAGGGGTAGTCGCAATTTGCGATGGGTTTGCGACGGACTTGGCAGAGAAAATAAGTATGTCGCAACTCCATCGCAAATTGCGACATCCGTGGTCGTCGCAAATATACCGCAGTATTGCAACGACATTGCGACGAACTTGCGACCGAAAGGGGCAATTGCGACGAACTTACATGGTGGTCGCAAAGTATATCGTAATTTGCGACAAATAGTGAAGAATAAATCTGAGGGTACATCTGCCGAAGTGTCTGTAGCTGATAAGAACAAGATCTTTATTGAGGTAATTGTTTTATTAATTTCATATTTTATAAATTTACTTATTTATTTTATTTAACATTTTATTTTATTTTTTAAGGTTGCTCCCCGTAAAAATGGAAGAATATATGGACTCGGTTCTTTGCTGTCTTAGATTGATTCTTCAGCTCTATTTGATTCTTCTTCATCTCATCCCGACACGGAGGCTATGAGGACAATTATCGAGGATCAGAGCCGTCAGCTTCAGACTCAGTCTGAGAATATTGACACCCAATCTGAGAAGCTTGAGACTCAATCTGAGAAGATGAAGAGTTATGATATTCTCTTCGACTACTTGGCGGAGAAAAATTCACAGTTTGCACAGTTGCGAGCTAATATGACGGGTTCTTCGACCAATCTTTCACAGCCCGAGTCGGATGTTTAGTTTATTTGCTTTTATGTCTTTTATTTACATTTGTTTTCGTAATGACTTAAATTTTTAATTTCAGTTTTAATTATATTTTCTGTTTTATTTATAATTTTATTTGCATTTTAATTATTTTTAATTTGATTTTTAATATAATGTAAATCCCTATTAATAATAGTGCGACTATTTTGCGACTGCACTACTAATAAATTTGTGTCGGTTTTGCGACTTCTTTGCTAATAATTTTGCGACGGTTTTGCGACTTCACTGCTAATAAATTTGCGACACCTTTGCGACAGAAACATAAATATTTTGCGACATTCAGTGACAGACACCTTTAACAATTTGCAACACATTTGCGACATCGTTGTCTCAAAAATTCGGTTT